GTCAAAGTTTACTCAATGATGACGAATAGGGGGCGGGTCGAACCGCGCATATGTTCGCCCGCCGTGGCGAACGCGAACATGCCATGTTCGCCAGGAACCGTTCGCCAGCGAACCGTTCGGTACATCACTAATTATAACGCACTCATTGGATCTGAGTGGAAACAGAAACCACAACAGGGCAATAATACATACCCTTTTTATATCCTATGCATTTAATCTATAGCCACGCCACCAAAACGGTTGAATTCAAACCTATTGGCAGCCCGTAACATCATTGGCGTCATGATGTAGGTGCGTACATGCCGCGTCATAAAAAGGGACAGAGCTACAGTGCCTGGCATCGGAACCGCTGGAGACATGAGAGGGACTGTGGGAGAGGGACTCCCCTTCCTGGACCTCCCCACAGCCTGGGCAACATAAGGTACTGTGGCATGATTCCCCCCTTTGAGAACCTCCTACCTGGCAGTAAGAACCAGGGTGAAAAGGAAAGTGCGCATGGAACGACCTAAAAAGACAAGGGGAATGAATGTCAGAAGAACCAACCCAAGACCGTTCTTCAGGACCAAACCCTTCCAGTCAACCAAATATTGAATTCGACCCCTAGAAATACAAGAATCAAAAATGGCCTTCACTTCTTATTCTTTCTGATCCTCAACATGGACAGGAGAAGGAATGTCAATGAGCCTAGTGTATCAATTGTATGTTAGAGGTTTCAATAAAGATACATGGAAAGAATTAGGAATACGTAATGTAGGAGGAAGCAGTAATTTATAAGCCACAGGATTGATACGTTGTATGACTTTGTAAGGACCAATATACATGGGGCAAGCTTCATCGATGACACTTTCAGACGGATATTCTTTGTGCTTAGCCAGACCTTATCACCCAATTGATATACAGGAGCACTATATATGAGGTGAGGTAGAGGCAAATAATATGCCTACTAAATAACAGTCTGACAAAAAACAATTAGACCTGTGCTGCTGAGGCTCCAACACTGTAGTCCCAGCAGTGTATAATTGCAAACAATAAAGGAAAAGGATTCCTGCACATCCAGTTTAAGTGGGCACACCCAGGTGCTACCATGGTTTAGTTGAGGACAAAGTACAAACAGCAAACATTTTGGGCAAAAGCCCTTTCTCAATACTAATGTCCTATAGTATATACAAGATACAGACAATATATAAACAAATAAAGTGCTTACATAACCCAAAGTGCCTCCCCCAAGTATTCAAATACACCAACAGGAACAGGTGTGTGGTAAATTTCCATTACTCTGGCACGTTTGACACCCCCAGTCACTTCCTGGATCAGCTGATAGGTGCGTGATGACGTCAGGCGTCACATGCGTCGCGTGTGACATCATCACGTTCCATGGCTAGGCGACTGGTAAAGAATTATACAATAGTCTGAAATACAGGAACAGGATGCCGTTGTTTATCAGCATGTTTTTTTGTATAAACCAGAAGTGTGTGACAGGATGTAAATGAGCTTGTTCCCACATCCTTTTTAGGTTTGCCACATGTTCTTCTGCCAGCGGCAGTTCTGCAAAGAAAATGCGAATGGAAGAACCAGTGGATTAAAACCAAGGTTAATAAAGAGCGGACTGTGGCGAGTAGCCTCACAGACCACATTATTATGTGCAAATTCAGCCCAGGGAACAAGGTCAACCCAACTATCCTGATATACATCTCAAGTATTGTTCCAACTTTTGATTGGTTCATTCAGCTGCTCCGTTAGATTGGGGATGATAAGCCAAGGAAATGCTGAGCGTGATACCCAACTGTGCACAGAAAGTATTCCAGAAACGAGAAATAAACTGTGTCCCCCTGTCTGATACAATTTCTTTGGGTATGCCATGTAACCAAAACACCTCTTTGGCAAAGATCATGGCCAATGCAGGTCAAGAAGGCAATTCTATTAAGGGAACAAAATGGGCCATTTTGGAAAGCCTATCAACTATCGTTAAGATGACAGTATGTTTCTCTGATACAGGCAAGTCAAGAATAAAATCAATAGCAATGCTTTCCCATGGCTTGTGGGGTATATCTAAAGGTTGTAAGAATTCACAAGGGAGTGTACATGGTAATTTGGTTTTGGCACACACATCACATGTCAAAACATACTCTTTAATATCCTTACGTAAGGAAGACCACCAATATTAAGAAGCTATCAGAGGGTACGTCTTGTTTATGCCTTGGTGACCAGCTATTTTACCATCATGGTAAAAGATAAGTATATCTTTTTGATACTCTGGAGGTACGTATTGTTTGGCCATAGGTATGTGTTTAGGTGCCTGGTGCTGTTTGTCTTCTATGTTACCAATGAGTTCGGAATTTATCCTAACGTAAGTATTAGCAACTATCCTATGTGTGGGCACAATAGCTGCTTCTTCTGTGACAAGGCAGGTGTGAGGTTCGTACTGACAAGACAAGGCATCAGCTTTAGTGTTTTTAAATCCAGGCCTATCAGTTAGTATATATATATATATATTGCTAGAAAAAGAGACCAACATGCCTGTCTAGCGTATAACATCTTAGCCTCTCCAAGATAAGATAAAAAGTCCAATAGAGCATGTTTTCATAAATGTTTTATTTTTGTATTAGACAGCTATTGAGCCAAGCATAGCCACTATCGGTGTAAGGATCTGCTGCCAACCCCGGCCCTGCTGGGAACATCATTCCATGAGACCAGAGCTTACACCTCGATGTGAGGTCTGAGGTGGAACGCACTGTGACATGCACGCCTTCCACACCAGTTGTCAGGATACAGAAGATCCATCTACTCCTACAATCCTCATCCATCAGGGTCTGGAATTAAGGTTTTCTGGCTATCTTGCTACACTCTGATTTTTATTCTTATTTTTATATTTGAAGGATTTTTAATAAATATATCAGTTTGATCAATATTTCCAGTTGCTTTTTACTTTTTACAAGCGCTCTTGTGATACTGCATTAAATGTTTTTAGCAATCAGTTCCTCATACTGATATGCTTTGTCCTATGTGGACCTAATGCACTTCTTTTATATCTATATAGAAGTATATTATTTGTCATCAGTACCGCCATCCCTGCATTGTTTTCACAAGCATGTGTTAGGGATACTCAAGCTATATATATCTTTTTTGGACTTTTGAAGGTTCCATTGATTTGCTGAATGTATATTTAACTGTTACCTAGATTGACAATTTGCATTATATTAATTACATGTATTAGGTTTTTAGCTCCTTGACACTCACACTGTAGTTTATAGTGTGTTTCTTTTATTGCTAGATTCATGTATGCAGTTCTGAAGATACATCCTCTGACCAAACCAGTATATCTGCCATGGGATTTATCTTTGGTTTTAAAGGCACTTAAATCTGACCCATTTGAACCCATGGAATTAATTTCCCTAATTTACTGACTATCAAAACAGTAGTTCTCTTGGTACCACTGGGCTCAGGCAGATGAGTATCACAACTTCAATTGCTCTCCAGAACAGAACCCATTACAGTTTTTCACAATAACATGGCCATTCTAAGAACGGTTCCAGAATTCAAGGCCCAAAGTCCCATCATCCATTCATATTAATGAGCAGATTATTCTTCCAGCTTTAAATGTATCCTCGGAAGATCCAGAACATTCTGAGATTCTTAATAGCGTTAGACCTGGTGAGATGTCTGAAAATATGTCTGAAAATATATGTGGGCAGATCTAAAGAAGCCCTAGGTCGATGGATAGTTTCTGCTATCATTCAAGCCTACAAGGCTGCTCAGATTCCGATTCCTGATGAGCTTAAAGCCCACTCTATCAGGTCCCTCTTCCTCTTCCTGGGCTGCAAGTGCAAAAGTCTCTCTGGACATTATTTGTAGGGCCACCACATAGTCCTCTATTAATACTTTTATAAGGCATTATCATTTGGAGTGAGTTTGGAAAACGTGTTATTTCTATTTCTAATATTTAAAGGGACACTACAGAACAACTACAGCTTAGAATTTGTTCTGGTGAGTAGAATCATTACCTTCAGGCTTTTTTGCTGTAAACACTGTCTTCAGAGAAAATGCAGTGTTTACATTACAGCCTAGGTTTCTTCGACCCTCCCCTGTCCCATTGTGGTCTCCTCCCCCTCCCCTGCCCCATAGTGTTCTTCCCTCCATCCCATAGTGTTCTTTCCCCACTCTCCCCCATAGTGTTCTTACCTCCCCCTCCCCCATAGTGTTCTTTCCTCAACCTCCCCGGTCCCATAGTGTTCTTTCCTGCCCCCTCCCCATAGTGTCCTCCCCAATCCCATAGTGTTCCTTTCTCCCATCCCTTAGTGCCCCTTTCTCTTCCCCCCATAGCTCCCGGGGTGTCTCCTACCTTTCTTGTAGCGTGGCCGTGCGGAGCAGACTGCGGTACCAGAGCTTCAGTTTCCTGTACCCGGCTGAACTGACAGAAAGTGCTCTCTCAATGAGCACTTCCTTTCAGTCCGGCCGGGTACAGGAAACAGAAGTTCTTATACCGTGGTAGCACACTGCTTGTCTCAGCCATGCTAAACTGAGTGAATGGTAGGAGGAAGAGCTGTGCGGCCACCTTCTGCTGGTCACTCTAATCTAGTGCGCCCTGGGCCGGTGTACTCTAAGGTGGCCACTTGTGCCGCCTTATGAACGTGCCGGCCCTGCATGGACATAATCTATACACAAAAACTTTTTCATTAAGCTAAGTTGATTTGGTGACTACAGTGCCCCTTAAAGAGAAGAACATCCATGATGGGATAATTCTGTCATGTGTCCTTAGGGGTGTAACTTGTGGTACCCCTATTTACCACTACAAAATCTTAAAACAAAGAATTTAGCAGGGCTGACTGTAAAGATATATTTAGCCTAAAATATTATGTAGTTGGCAAGAGTTTCTCTATTTACATCATATAAATAATTGAGAATACAATAACAAGTAGGGATTGTCTTGAAAGCAATAAAGGTTTGTATTTTAAAATACTTTATTAAAATATAAATATATATAAACATATAAAAACATAATAATCCATTATAATAATTTACAACAGAATTTATACGATTAAAGTATATGCTTGTAATATCAGTAAAATAGAATAACATACCCTGTTGAAAAAGTCAACCTCTCATTCTTGTAAAGTGGAGCAGCGTCTTTGCATCCAAAATTTCCCCCTCTGTTTCCTAATATTAATAAATATACTTACTTGTACCCTAGATTTTAAATAGGTTTTGTTAATAAATCAGAAAAACAATGTAATCTACTTTAACTTGGCAAAGATACAAGGTTGTGGCAGAACCAGCTTCGCCACTGGGCATTGGACTGATTGCCAGCCTCCTGCCCTGTGACTATGGCCCCATGTTGAAATGTTTGATTTTCCCCTGCAAAGACCCGAAAGCCGGGTCATTCGATATTTGCCCTATTTGAACCCCAGATAGCTATGCCATGGAGCCCATTCGTATAACGAAAAACTATGTGAAAGACTTTGGTTCCATGGCAATTGAACTGTATGTATGTGATCTGAGCGCCATTCAGTAATAATCTATCTGGGGTGTAATGGTATTTATTAATTAATGACTTTTTGTCATAAAAAAAGCATAATGAGCTTAATGCTTTAGACGCACCACTAGATGTCAGTAAAGCATATTTAGTGTAATACTTTGGGGGCACTACTAGGGGGAGTGTGTAGGAAGACCTGTGCTTCTGGCAGTGACATCACAGGCCAGCCTACTTACACTGAATAAAAACCAGATGTTAGGAGAAGCTCTCTCTCTTTTTGCCTGTACCTGACTGATCATGTAGTACCAGCTCTGACTTAGCCCCAGCCCTTTGGCTGGGGCCTTGTAAGTGATATGAATCCATTGTTACAGTTAGCTATTGTAATAGCCTTTTGTATAATATTTAGCAACCAATAGTGTTTTGTGTAGTATTTTATTGTATAACTATTGTGGTAAATTGACATTCCGCTAGCATCTGTTTATTTATTATAGTTATATTAAATATACATTTAATATTACAACGTTTTGTGTATTTTCTATCCACATATTCGACCATAATACCATGAATTATAAAAATATTAATGTTGTTCCGTATTGCTTAATTATTATGTATTAAGAGATTAATATTCATATTTAGGTCACGACCACAACACTGGGGATATGTTGAATGTACCTGTTTTATGCAATAGCTGCACAGTTATATATTTTTATGTATTTTATTGTCTTTTGCTACCATGTGTTCAATGGAGTTTTGCCTCTTTCCTTGGAGATAATTGGATTACTTCCCAATTATCTCCAGGATAGAAGACTCCGTGAAACTGGTTTTGGGCAGAAAATAAATGCTTAATTTGGTCACAAAGGACGTCGATCTAACTTTTGACCCACTGGACAAATTTGTATGATTTTGACGTGTGATTGTGATGCATACTTTTAAAGTTATGAATATTGTGTAAAACTGTGTATTTTCCTGCCTGTGATAATTATATTAACCCATTGTGTAAGGTAATTCTATCACAGGCAGAGGGGAGGATTTTGTGTGGGAGTGTCTGTGTGTATTGTACGTATTGATTGGTTGTTCTGCCAAACCCTGTGTTTGTAAAATGGGCATAAAAGCAGAGTGTTGGATTAAAAACTTCAGTTCTACTTCACCCTCAATTTGGAGTGCCGTCCCTTATTGGGAAAATCTGCTACAAGGGATTGCTATGCTAGTCATACTCCCTTGCTATATCACTACTAAGCTCTTATAAGAGCTTGTTCCTGTCTTGCTCTCTGAAGGAGTCTACGGTGATTATGGTGTTGGCTGGAGTGCTTGGAGCCCTCAGGAAGTGCTAGGAGCATCCTTTAACGGAGGTACCCAGTCAAGGTGCCTGTCGATCCGTTACAAAGGTCATGACCATTAAATGACGCAGCCTTGACTTGGTCATTTCACATGGGAACATCTTAATCAGTCTATGGTCATGGCCTAGACATCTTATCTATGTTTGTACTAAACCTTAAGGTTGAACATGACATAGGCAATGCCTTGACTTGGTGTTACATTGATCTTGGAAAAAATGGCCTCTTAAAGTCTAAATATCTTATGCACTGAATATGTGTAAGAGGTCATTGTATGAGAATTAAGGTGTTCCATTTCGAACAACTTGTCAGTTTGCAAAAGCTCTTAAATACAAAGTACACAGTTTAAGAAATACAACTTTTCAGTCTAAAAACCTGTACTATTTGATAATGTCCATATTGCTATTGCTCAGCTAATTATTTTCTACAAAATAATCTAATATTCTATAATCTAATAATCTAAACACTTAATACAAACCAGTACCGCATAAAGATTGTTTAGTATTTAATTCGGGCCTGAATATGATAATATAGCACTTGGGTAAAAATATACACCCCAAAATCCCTGTGCTGGAAGCCAGGATAGCAAATACTTCTACAGCAACCATAGATTTCCCTTTGGTGCTCATATATGCTGGGATAAACGAGACCCAAACACTGCAGAACACAAGCATACTAAAAGTGATATAACGGGCCTCATTAAATAGATCTGGCAACTGCTTGGCTAGAAAAGCTACAATAAAACTACAAAGTGCAAGGAACCAATTATAACCTAGAGCAACATAAAACAAAAGGAGAGAGCCAACATTGCAATGAAGTATTAGCTTAGCAACTTCCACTTTTGAGTCTTTGTCAGGGAATGGAGGCCAGGATGTTAACCACCAGAAGCAGATTCCAACTTCACCGAAGCAAAAGAACACCGCTATAAAGATGGATACTCTGGATCTTAAAAATATCCTGAATTTGCTCCCAGGCTTTACAACTGAAAAGGCTACTAAAACTATAATTGTTTTTGTCAGAACAGATGACAGAGCCACAGCATAGATTATGTTAAAAATTGCATTTTGCAGCAAGCATGTGATCTTATTAGGCGAGCCAAAAAATAACAAGCAAAAAAGGAAGGAAAGCATGAGGGAAAATAGAATGACGTAACTTAGATACGTATTATTGGCTCGTACTATGGGTGTATGTCTGTACATTATAAAAATACTAAGTATGACAGTTGTGATGAAAAATAGCATTACTGCAAATGATGCTAAAGTTGCACCAAGAGGTTCATGGTAGGTTAAAAAATCTATGGTTCTCGGCAGACAAGTGACTTGATCAACATCAGGATATTCATCTTCTGGACACAGCAAACAATTTTCCATATCTGAAATTAAAATTTAAAATTGATTAAGAAATGGGTGGTCAGACATTAATGAGATGAAATATAAGCTATTGGAAGTCTTCTTAACAAGATCTACCATCTGATCACCATGGTACTTTGTAAACAATAACTGCTCCTACTCTACACTCTCCAATACACACAGACATACTGGCATGCCTTCACTCTCTCACATACAGTCATACCCACACCCTCCCATATATAGTTACATAGCTGAAAAGAGACTTGCATCCATCAAGTTCAGCCTTCCTCACATTTGTTTTTTGCTGTTGATCCAAAAGAAAGCAAAAAAAACCAGTTTGAAGCACTTTTTGCACAATTTTGCAACAAACTAGGAAAAAATCCTTCTTGACCCCAGAATGGCAGTCAGATTTATCCTTGGATCAAGCAGTTATTACCCTACATTGAAAATTTATTTCCTTGAATAGTCTGTTTTTACAAGTATGCATCTAGTTGCTGTTAGATCATATGTATGGACTCTGATAAAACCACTTTTCAGGCTGAGAATTCCACATCCTTATTGTTCTTACAGTAAAAAAACCTTTTCTTTGCCTTAGACAAAATCTTCTTTCTTCCAGTCTTAATGCATGACCTTGTGTCCTATGTAAAGTCCGGTTTGTGAATAGATTTCCACACACTGATTTGTATTGGCCGCCTATATATTTGTATAATGTTATCATATGCTCTCTCAGGCGAAATTTTCTAAACTAAAGATGTTTAAATTTGTTAACGTTTCTTCATAGCTGATATGTTCCATTCCTTTTATTAATTTTGTAGCCCGCCTCTGCACTTTTTCTAGTGCCATAATATCCTTCTTTAGAACAGGTGCCCAAAATTGCACAACATATTCAATATGTGGTCTTACCAGTGATTTATAAAGAGGTGAAATTATATTCTCATCCCGAGAATGAATGCCCTTTTTCATGCATGACAATACCTTACTGGACTTAGCCTCTGATGATTGATATTGCACATTGTTGCATAGTTTGTTGTCTATAACAATTCCCAAGTCCTTTTCGTGTGTTGTTATCCCTAATTAGTTTCCATTAAGGGTATACATTGCTTGTGCATTCTTTACAACCGAAGTGCATAACTTTGCATTTTTCAAGATTAAATTTCATCTGCCATTTGAGTGCCCAGTGCCCAGTCCAACAGTCTATCTAAATCCCTCTGCAGCAAAGTAATATCTTGCTCACATTGTATTACTTTATATACACAAAGCATACCCACATTATTATATAGTAAAAATACACAGATGGGTCAGCGTTCAGTAACATAGAAGAATGAACAAAAAGTCCCCTCTCAACCCTATCGGATAATACAAAAGTAAAAGACAGTTAAGGGCTGTGCCACATGTTATACATTAAAAAAGATAAAGTAAAATATGAAATAAAATAAATACTGTGAGTCTTATTCCAGATGGGGAAATTGTCACATATAAAAGTGTCTCTTATTCAGGAGGTAGTTTCCACTGTGGTTCCTAGGTTCTTTATACTTGGGAGGTCTTGTTGTCTTTAGTCTCCGTATGTGGGTGAGAAAGAGACAGAATAGCCTGATAGTGCAGTAAGTCAGGGCTAAGTAGGCCTGTTATTAATAATAACAGTATTGCTCTCACATTTAAGAGAGCTATAACCAGCTCTAGTGTGGCTCGCCTATAATGGTATAATCCCCATGTATGGAATATGGTGGTGGTAGGTCTCGACTAGTAGTTGTCTAGATGCTCGGAGAGAAAATAAGAATAGCCACAGATAGAGCTCTCAGTAAGACACAGATAGTGCTCTCAGTAAGACAATAATAACAGTGTTGAATATAAAAATTGTACTTACAAACGAAGAGCAGGCTCACTGCTCTGTGGTGAAAGCATCGGTGGTATAATTCCCCCCTAGGATTTGCTTGGGAGTAGTAGAAGATGAAGTTAAAAATTTGGAGATAAGAATAATAATAATAAGTAATAAAATATATTATTATTTAAAAAGCCAGGAAAAATGTATAAATAAAAGGGTATTGGTTCAATAAAATGTTGTAATACCAAAGTCCTTTATTATATCAGATAAAAAAAGTAATTTCCATAATGCGTTTCGTCATAACAGACTTTTTCAAATGGATTAGAGCATGCAACAAGTGCGCACCATCCACTAGTTTCACGGCCGCACACGCCCACACCAGTGATGTAATGAACAGCGCCCCTAAAAAATGCCGGAAACTACATTTCCCATGCGGCAAAGTGCCGCGAATCACATGGCCACCTTCCCCACACATATTAAACACTATAACACCCTAGTTTTTTTATCTTAATTATCACTTAACACTTCTTATACCTATACTTTAAAGTGCCAATGGTTAATTTATTCATTTTATGTTATTATTATTATTATTCTAAACTATGATTGATGCACACATTTTTGGCACCATTTTTAAATGATCTTAACCTTATTTAAAGCCTATTAGTCAGGATGCATGCTCTAACCCATTTGAAAAAGTCTGTTATGACGGAACGTGTTATGGAAATTATGTTTTTTTATCTGATATAATAAAGGACTTTGGTTTTACAACATTTTATTGTACCAATACCTCTGTATTTATACATTTTTCCTGGCTTTTTTAAAATAATAATATATTTTATTACTTATTATTATTATTATTATCTCCAAAGTTTTAACTTCATCTGCTACTACTCCCAAGCAAATCCTAGGTGGGGATTATACCACCAACGCAGTCACCACAGAACAGTGAGCCTGCTCTACGTTTGTAAGTACAATTTTTATATTCAACACTATTATTATTGTCTTACTGAGAGCACTATCTGTGGCTATTCTTATTTTCTCTCTGAGCATCTAGACAACTACCAGTCGAGACCTACCACCACCATATCACATAAATGGGGATAATACCACTATAGGCGATCTACACTAGAGCTGGTTATAGCTCTCTTAAATGTGAGAGCAATACTGTTATTATTAATAACAGGCCTACTTAGCCCTGACTTACTGCACTATCAGGTTATTCTGTCTCTTTCTCACCCACATACAGAGCCTAAAGACAACAAGACCCCCCCAAGTATAAAGAACCTAGGAACCACAGTTGAAACTAGCTCCTGAATAAGAGACAATTTTAAGACTCACAGTATTTATTTTATTTTATATTTTACTTTATTTGTTTTATCGTATTACATGTGGCACAGCCCTTCCACTTCCACATTATTGTATGCATGTATTTGTTTAGTCTCCCACATATACATAAATAAAACTACTCATTCTCTCATATACATTAGTTTAAGTATAATTAATCTTCTGTAGCCTCTATGTTTTCCCTGGTGAGAGGTAACCATGAACTCTCTCACGACAGAGCCCACTCAGAGCTCTATTAATAGTGCTATGAAATAGTGGAATAAGAGGAGGCTGTTTTGCCTCCAACTGACATAATCACCAGAGTACTACAACAAATGGGTAACTGAATGGCTTTTTTTCTATATTTTACTATATACCCATTGGAAAATACGGAGGAACATCCTTTACAAGCTATATCCTTGAGTGGGGATTATACCGATGCGTATGTTGTGAAGATAACGTAAGACATACCAGTGTCCCTACAAAGACCTTGCTGTGATTCTTCAGCTAACATCCTGTGACAAGGATTATATTGTCAGAAGCAGATACAATCAAGCCAACAGACGGCTTATTGTTTGTGAGTGTATTTTTATAAATAATATTTCTTCTGCACTGGTTATAAACAATATCAAACTATTGTTTGTTCCCTCTGTTATTTATTGTCATTTCATATCTTGGAACCTATCTTAATCGGTGAAATACATTGAACTACCTACTACAACTACCATCGTTGTCAAGGACTTTCTTATTATTTTACAAGGATCTTTGTAACTATAGATTCCAGTTACTACTACTTGCATACACATGTATACCTTAGTAATACCAGTAATGTCTGGTTATTTTTTAATATATATTGTTTAACCTCAGAACAAGAACTTTCTGTCTCACCCCTGTAGAGACAAGTTTTATCTTAGGGCAGTATGTTTTTTTGTTTTTTTCTCCCATTGGAACTGTGGGGTGTACAGGTTTTTGGAACTAATCACTCTTGATCCCTGTTTTTACCTTCTCCCTTGCTGGGAGGATACAGTTGTTCTTTTATTAAACGGGAGAGGGTCTGCAGTGCTGGGGGATAGGATGGCTAGAAGGTTGGAGGAGATTTTAAACTAGTAGTAGGGGGGGAGGGTCATAGCAATCTACAAAATGGAGATAGGACAGAAAGGAGATGGGCTTTAGCACAGTATAAGGGGGGTGGAAACGGGGGGAGGGGCAAGCTCAGAACAGAGAAGCTGTGTAATGTTGAAAATTCACAAAATATACAAGTGACGCATAATATTAAATGTATGCTTACTAATGCAAGGAGCCTAAATAACAAAATGGGGGAACTAGAGGCATTAGCATACACTAAACAATATGATATAATAGGCATAACTGAAACATGGTGGGATGAGACACATGACTGGGCAGCTAACTTAAATGGGTACATGTTATTTAGGAAGGATAGGAAAAACAAGAAGGGTGGTGGGGTATGTTTGTATGTCAAACATGATTTAAAGCCAAATGTTAAGCAAATGGAATGCGAGGAGGATAATGTGGAAGCTTTATGGGTAAATATCTGCTTGGGGGAAAAGAAGGGAAACCAACTATTGGTTGGGATATGTTATAAACCACCTAATGTTAATATTGACGAGGAACAACAGCTGTTTGAGCAAATTGAGAAAGCTGCAAATCTGGGTAACACTTTAATTATTGGAGATTTTAATTACCCGGATATAAATTGGGACAGAGGGACTAGTGCCTCAGCAAAGGGAATTAGGTTTTTAAACTTGTTAAATGACACCTTCATGTCACAACTTGTACAAGCACCAACTAGAATGGATGCTTGTCTGGACCTGGTTTTAACAAACAACGTTGATCTTTTGACCAACATTCAAGTAGGTGAGCACTTGGGAAATAGTGATCACAATATAGTGTCCTTTGAAATAAACTCAAAAAAACAAAAGCACATGGGGAATACTAAAACATATAATTTTAAAAAGGCCAATTTCAATAAGTTAAGGGAAGCTTTACAATATATTGACTGGCATAAACTCTTTAGTGAAAAGAACACTGAGGATAAATGGATCATCTTCCAACAAATATTACAAAGGTACATTTCTCAGTATGTACCATTGGGAAATAAATATAAAAGAAACAAATTAAAACCAACATGGCTTAGTAGAGAAGTAAAACAAGAGATTACAACTAAGAGAAGGGCATTTAAAGCATTTAAATCGGACAAATCAGATGCATCTTATAAAAGATATAAGGATGCAAATAATGCGTGCAAAAAGGCAATTAGACTTGCTAAACTTCAAAATGAAATAATGATAGCTGAAGAGAGCAAAACCAACCCCAAAGCATTTTTTAAGTACATAAATTCTAAAAAAAAACAAAATGAAAGTGTAGGTACACTAAAAACTGAAACGGGGGTGTTAATTAATGAAGACCAGGAAAAGGCAGGAATTTTAAATAACTTTTTCTCCTCCGTATATATTAAGGAAGAACCCATGGCAATAGATGTGCAAATGATTGCTACTAAAAACTTGCAGAATAATTGTAATTGGTTAACTCAAGACAAGGTGCTGCAGCAACTAAAGAAAGTTAATATAAACAAAGCTCCAGGGCCTGACGGTATCCATCCACGTGTACTTAAGGAACTAAGTGCAGAAATAAGTGAACCTCTGTTTTTAATCTTTCAATATTCTTTTCTTTCAGGAAGTGTTCCGGAGGATTGGAGGAAGGCAGATGTGGTTCCTATATTCAAAAAGGGTTCAAAATCCTTGCCTGGAAATTATAGACCTGTGAGCTTAACTTCTGTGGCTGGTAAAATATTTGAAAGTTTATTAAGGGATAATATTCAAGAATTCCTTGAGAAGAACATGGTTATCAGCAAAAATCAGCATGGTTTTATGAAGCACAGGTCATGTCAAACTAACTTGATTGCGTTCTACGAAGAAGTAAGTAGAAGTATAGATCAGGGTGTTGCCGTGGATGTGATCTTTTTGGATTTTGCCAAGGCATTTGATACAGTTCCACACAATAGATTAGTGTTCAAACTCAAGGAAATCGGTCTAGATGAAAATGCTTGTTCTTGGGTAGAACATTGGCTTAAAAACAGAGTACAAAGAGTTGTCATTAATGGTAAATTTTCAAGCTGGACAGAGGTGGCAAGTGGTGTCCCTCAGGGGTCTGTTCTGGGACCCCTTCTATTTAACATGTTTATAAATGATCTTGAAGACCGCATTGAAAGTCATGTTTCAGTGTTTGCAGATGACACAAAACTTTGTAAACAATACAATGTGAGCAAGATATTACTTTGCTGCAGAGGGATTTAGATAGACTGGGAGACTGGGCACTCAAATGGCAGATGAAATTTTATGTTGAAAAATGCAAAGTTATGCACTTCGGCGTAAAGAATACACAAGCAACGTATACCCTTAATGGAAGCGAATTAGGGATAACAACACATGAAAAGGACTTGGGAATTGTTATAGACAACAAACTATGCAACAATGTGCAATGTCAATCAGCAGTGGCCAAGGCCAGTAAGGTATTGTCATGCATGAAAAAGGGCATTCATTCTCGGGACAAGAATATAATTTTGCCTCTTTATAAATCACTGGTAAGACCCCATATTGAATATGCTGTGCAATTTTGGGCACCTGTTCTAAAGAAGGATATTATGGCACTAGAAAAAGTGCAGAGGCAGGCTACAAAATTAATAAAAGGAATGGAACATATCGGCTATGAAGAAAGGTTAACAAATTTAAACCTATTTAGTTTAGAAAAACGTCGCCTGAGAGGGGATATGATAACATTATACAAATATATTCGGGGCCAATACAAACCATTGTGTGGAAATCTATTCACAAACCGGACTTTACATAGGACACGAGGCCATGCGTTTAGACTGGAAGAAAGAAGATTTCGCCTAAGGCAAAGGAAAGGTTTTTTTACTGTAAGAACAATCAGGATGTGGAATTCTCTGCCTGAGGAAGTGGTTTTATCAGAGTCCATACAGATGTTCAAACGGCTACTAGATGCATACTTGCAAGAACAGAATATTCAAGGATATAATCTTTCAATGTAGGGTAATAACTGCTTGATCCAAGGATAAATCTGACTGCCATTCTGGGGTCAAGAAGGAAATTTTTTCCTAGCTTGTTGCAAAATTGTGCTTCAAACTGTTTTTTTTTGCCTTCTTTTGGATCAACAGCAAAAAACAAATGTGAGGAAGGCTGAGCTTGATGGACGCAAGTCTCTTTTCAGCTATGTAACTATGTAACTATTATTCCTATTATTATTGGTATTCATAGTGCCAACTAGTTCCGCAGAGCTTTACATCCCAGGATTCATGGAATTTGATAGTTTCACGTTTAAATGGTTATTCCAACCAAAAAATAGTTTTTTCATAAAGTACTATTTTTGGCTAGAGTAACACTTGCTGTGCTAGTCAGTCTTTTAAAAAAAAAAAAAAATATGGATATAATTAAAGGGACACTCCACGGCCCATATAAAAAATAAATAAAAATCGCTGTTTAGAATATATATTCCAAATGACAACATGTATGCATTTAATTATGCATTTTTGTCATTGAGGTTTAATGTTAAAGCAGCATGCAAAACCTGCAGTTAACGTGTCTGTAGCCTTTGCAAGCCCTCCCCTACTAACCCCTCCTAGATTTTATGTGTCTGTCCAATCACAAATTTACCAATGAAGCTCAATAAGAAATCTTTGCAAGACAGGTGCTCTGGGCAATTGCTGCCTCTTGAGTTTATCTTAATTGAGGCAGGTGGGGGAGGGGAAGAAGGGGTAGCCACCTTAATTTATAAAAGTGTAAATTTCTATGGAAATTTGTACTTTATGCTAATTGAAAAAAGAGGTCACACTCTTCACACATAAAACTTGTTTGCAAACTAAAGTGCATTAGGGGTATGTCCCTTTAAGCTAAACTTGAGGCCAAGTTCTCCCCTCAGCCCAATCCTTTATTCTAAAATCAGTACCCTTACTGGAGGGGGAGAGATTTTAATGAGGGTGAGCTTGCTACTGATGCCCCAATGATGCTGCCGGAGGTGGAGTTCATTTTGCACGTACATAATCCAGGCAACAAGGACTTCGTCAAATCACTGATATTGTCAAGGTACTTGGATTAACAATTTAAGTCAATCTTGTAATACTTAATCTATCTATTTCTTATGTCCAATGTAGTCGACATGTTCTTTGATTTATTCATTTTTTCAAGCCTTATTGCAGGTTTTTTCTGCTTAATTGAATGGTATTTTAGATGATGGCTCTGCAAAGTTGCACTCTTTTCCTGATGTTATTCTGGAAAGATATAGGTCTCCTCCTCATAGTTTATGGACTAATGTACATTTTCCATGCAGCCTTATTGTTTATATTTCTTTTACTTTTGTTATCTTACCTTCTTTTAAAATTCATATTCCCATAGCATTTTATTGCTGCGAGGTGAAATAAAATTCGGACTTGAGTGTTTTTCACAGATATAAACTGGGTCCTATAGCTCCACTCTTACAATAGGCCAGCACTCTCCTTATTCCTAATTTGTTTGATTTTTTAAAACAGAAATAATACTCCTACATTCACCTCTGAAATTAGCCAGTACAGTTGTAGCTTTCTCCCCTTTCCTATCATCATTCGTTCTTACCAGTTTGATTGGATATTTCACCAGGTGAGCACTGAACACAAGAATAGCAGCACATTTCTTCTCTTAAATTTGCTTTTCTGTACCCAGGTGGGCATCTCTCATTGCACATAGATTCAGGGATCTAAAAAAAAAAAAAATAATACAAAGAGATATAATAGACTACAAATAAATGTCCAATTATGACATATTAACTTTCAATGCTTGAAAAGTGTTTATTTTGATTTTAATATTTATCACATTGACTACAAAAATATTTGCTTTTAAATAAGTATAGCACAATATATTTTATTGTTTTTATTGTCACAAATAGCAGAAGAATGTAGGATAAAAGAGCAATTGTGTGTATATATTGCGTTTCAGAAATGCCTGCTAAAATAACTATATGTATATTTACACAGTTTTAACTTTTTTTTGTTCAACCCCTTAAGGACTGAGCCAAATGTACACGTTGTGATCAAAACAAAAACTTGAATTTGCGCTATATGTCTGTTCAGGCGTAATTCGCCTCTTTCATGTTATGCACCTACACTTATTATATATAATTTTATTCAGGCAAAACGGGGCTTTCATTTAACATCAAATATTTAGTTATGAAACATAATTTAATATGAATAAAATATAAAAAAAATGGGAGAAAATAAGTATTTTAAAATATTTTTAGTTCTACGTGACATTTTAACTGTTAATGTCATAATACTGTTTGCTTTTACTGCAATAAAATACACATGTTTGTATTCAGCGATGTCTCACATGTAAAACAGTATCCCCTATGTACAGGTTTTATGGTGTTTTGGAAAGTTACAGGGTCAAATATAGCATGTTTCATTTTTCTGTTTTTTCACATTGAAATTTGCCAGATTGGTTACGTTGCCTTTGAGACCGTACGGTAGCCCAGGAATGAGAATTACCCTCATGATGGCATACCATTTGCAAAAGTAGACAATCCAAGGTATTACAAATACTGGGGTATGTCCAGTCTTTTTTAGTAGTCACTCGGTCACAAACACTGGCCAAAGTTAGTGTTAATATTTGTTTGTGTGTGAAAAATGCAAAAAACTAATTTGAAAGCCAATTTTGGCCCGTGTTTGTGACTAAGTGGCTACTAAAAAAACTGGACATACCCCATTCATCAGGTATAGGTTTTGTGTGTCCTGATGAAACATCAATTTGACAATAAAGTATTTTGATGTTGGAAATCCAGGAGTGCTGGCAAACGTTTGTTTCCTATATCACAGTGTGCCTGAGCACCCGGTATCATTGGCTGGAGGTAGGAGTGCAAAAGATCTTATATACATTTTTAAATTATTTTTATTTATATATAGGTATATATATAGTGATATATACATATATACTTATGTATATATAATATTCCTTTTTATCCCTGCACACACTCTTTCAAGTTATTTAAATGCCGGGTGCATTCCAGCCAAAGTCAAATATCATAAAAATAGTAAATGAAGGCTTGCCCTCACGGTCTTTTTCTTGTATAAAAGTTTTCTTTCTTTATTCCATATTTCTTAAAACATACTTTCTGGTAGAATCAACGTTTCAGCCATCATCCGTGGCTTTCATCAGGATCAGTTCAGCAAAAAAAAAAAAAAAAAGCTGAACTGATCCTGATGAAAGCCACGGATGATGGCTGAAACGTTCATTCTACCAGAAAGTATGTTTTAAGAAATATGGAATAAAGAAAGAAAACTTTTATACAAGAAAAAGACAGTGAGTGCAAGCCTTCATTTACTATTTTTACTTATGTATATAGATATATATATTATTTCGTTCTACATGTATTTTGATATCAATATATATATATTCATTTTAAAATACAGTTAGAACAACAATTCTCTCCTTCTCCTTCCTATATTTTTTATTTTCCTTCTTTCTCCTATTTTACAAGTACTCTGCTCCTTCTTTCCCCTTTTTTACAAGTACTCTGCACCTTCTTTCTCCTATTTTAGAAGTACTCTGCTCCCTGCTACTGTGTATCCCCCTACTCCAAGTCCTCCCCTTCCTCTACCCATGTGTTACACTTGTATGCGCGCGCGCGCGTTTGTACATGCGCACGCATTTGTAAGTGCACACGCATTTGTATGTGCACACACATTTGTACGTGCATAAATAGAGCGTTCATCTCTCTGGATGGAGGGAAGATTCTTCTTGGGCCATAGAACCCACTACCGCCCACCTGGAATCCTGAAACACCCAGTAGTGGGCGGTAGGGACCAGGTTTACGACCACTGATATAGACAAAGGCATAAGACTGGGATTGCTTCTTATTTTGTTCTTTTTTTGGGGGGTGTTATTTTTTTGGGAGGGTTAACATTTGTATCTATGGATCGGCATGTAGATCTGTTATTTACTGTTTGGATGCTGCACATCTTGAGGTGTACCAGGAGGCGTTGAAAGTAGACCTGCTTTGAGAAGTGCATTTGTAATAAAAAAATTTAAATGTATTAACTGTAATACACTATTGTGGCCATATCATTCTTTTTATATAATATAGTCTAGAAATATGGAATCTGAAGCATGAAAAGTGCATGAAAAATTTTGCTATCAAAATTTTGGGTGATTTGGAAATACACCTCTATTCGCATCTTGAGATATTTTGAAGATACTATATGAAAAGTACTGCCTATGTCAATAGATAGTGAAATGCCTTTATATTCCTCTCTCTTATGACTACATTTTTAAAAGTAGCTAGTTACTATGTTAGTGGTAACTATGTTAGTGGTTAATACCCTATGAGTTTTTTATTTCTCAGTATTTTCATGTTTTTGGTATCAGTTTTCACTTGCTCAGTTAATAAAATCAACAATGACTCTCCCCTAGTCTACAATCATATTCTCCCATCATATTTATTTGGGGAGGGAGGCTGACTACCTCTCTCATCTAGCAGGGTTGCAATCTATCATTGGGGAGGGAGGCAGGGCCGGTGCAAGGACTTCTGTCTACACAGGCGAAGACACTTCACCTGTCTGTCTAATATTCCCACTTTTGCCACTCTTACCAATTCTTTTGCCCCTTTTGTGCATCTTTCCAACTTTTTCTCTTGTTTTCCTTTTTTGTATATCGTATCACTTTTTGCATTCTTTTTTATGTGTTTTGTGTCTTAATCCTGTTTTTCTTTACCCCCTTGCGTCACACACTCACTTGATCATACACATACACACTAACCATTACACACACACACTGACCATTACACACACTCTGCTTATATACACACGCTGGCTCTAACGCACACAGTCTCTTACACACTTGGGCGGCTTGTACACACTCACTGGCTCTAACAGACACACACAAACAGTCTCTTACACACACTGCTTATACACACTCACTGGCTGTAACACACACACAGTCTCTCACACACACACTGCTTTACACTACTTACACACACACAGCTTATAGACACACTAACTCTTACACACACACACACACACTGGCTCTAACACACACACACTAACTCTTACACACACACACACTGGCTCTAACACACACACACTGGCTCTAACACACACACATTAACACACACACACACCATAACTCTTACACACACACTGGCTCTAACACACACACATTAACTCTTACACACACACACACACACTAACTCTTACACACACACACACAGACTTACTGTTCCTTATAGTTGCTAAACAGAGGTCCCGCTGCACTGTTGTAGCTTTCCTCCTCTCTCCACAGCAGTTGGCCGCCAGGATATGATGTCATGTATCCCAGCGGCCTATAGCTCAGGAAGAGATTGGCCACAGTCGCTCCTCGCTGCTCTGCCCCCTTTCCCTCAGTGGCTGATTAGCCAGCTGATTAGATTGCTGCAGAAATTGACAGGCGGGAGCTTCTCCGAGTTCTCCGTGCTCCCGCCAGTCACTCTGACATTTTTGCGCCGCTCGTGCCGCCTTATGGTAGCGCCGGCCCTGGAGGGAGGCCTACTACCTCCATTGGTTGTGGTCTGCCACTGGGGAGAGAGGCCGACAAACTCTGCTCCCTCAGTTGAGATCTGCTACTAGGGAGGCTGACAACCTCGGTGTCCTTGGTTGTAATCTGCACTGGGGAGAGAGGCCGAAATCCTCCACTCTTTTGATTGTGATCGGCTGCTGGGGAGGGAGGTTGAATTCCTCTACCTCCTCTTTAAGGGTTGCCAGAAGCTTCTGGGGAGAGAGGATGAAAACCTCTACTCCCTTGGTTGTAATCGACCTCTGGGGAGGGAGCTTGACTACCTCTACCTCTTCTTGCAGGGTTGCCAGCTGCTGTGGGGGAGGGAAGCTGAAAACTTATACTCCCTTAGTTGTGATCTGCTGCCGGGGAGGGAAGTTGACAAGCTCAGCTTCATTGGTTGTGAAGTGCTGCTGGGGAGGGAAGCCAGATACCTCTACCTCCACCTTATGGTTTGAAATCTGATTCTGGGGAGGGAGGCCAAATACCTCCCCTGCTGGGAGCTCAATCTGCTACTGGGTAGAGAGCTGCCTCTACATCCTATCGCAGGGTTGCAATCTGCTGCTATTGGGGGCAGCTACTTCCACTCCATCAAGTCCTTATCTGGTGCTGCAGGGCAGGCCGGCTGTAACGGATCACCTGGCACCCCGACTGGGTACCCATAGGTGTGCGCAGCCTATTGCATTAGGGTGTGCACCCTAAAGCACAAGCACACGCTGCATATATATATGTATGTATGTATATATATATATATATATATATACATATATATATATACACATACACATATATACACACATACACACACTGCTGTGTGTGTGTGTGCTGTGTGAGGGTGCTGTTAGTGTGATGTGTGTGTGACGGTGCTGGTAGTGTGCTATGTGGGTGAGGGTGTTTGTGTGTGCGTGCTTGTGAGGATGCTGTTAATGTACTGTGTGTGAGGGTGCGGTTTGTGTGTGTTTGTGTGCGCTTGTGAGGGTGCTGTTAATGTACTGTGTATGAGGGTGCTGTTTGTGTGTGAGGGTACTGGTAGTGTGCTGTGTGTGTTAGGGTCCTGTTTGTGTTTGTGAGGGTACTGTTAGTGTGCTGTGT